TGTGGGTCTGGTGTTGGTTGCTTTGTGGTGTTGGCTGATGGGTGATTTATAAACGGCGAGCTAGTAGCATGGAGCTAACGGTCCAAATAAAGTATATTAACATTGCAGATAGTAACATTATTCTAAATATGAAGTTTAAGACTCCAGAGAGCGGTACTAAAGCAACCAGCTGACCTCTCTTTGTACAGCTCCTCCAGGTGGTGGTCGCTCAGTCGTCCATCCGCTCCACTAATCACAGCTGTTTTGGGCGGGGCTCCGTCCAGGAAGTGATGCGGCAGCATCATGGCAGCAGCCTCTCCGGACGCCGCACTCAGACGAGACGACGCTCTGAGCGGACTCCTGGCTCTGCTCGCCGCCACAGAGGAGGAGGAGCAGGAGGAAGGAGGAAGAGCCAGGCGATCATCTAGCTCCACCCCTCCAACACCTGTTAGCCCCGCCCCTCCCAGGCTGTCCGTCAAAAGCCTCAGGTTGTGAGGTTGGTGTTTGAGTTCGTAGTAGTTGGTGAGGTCCATGTGGAGCTCTGAGGGAGAGGATCAATAATCAGTCAGTTAATCAAACAATTCATCCATCTATCAATCTATCAATCTATCAATCTATCAATCTATCAATCCATCAATCTATCAGTCCTCAGGGTTGGACTGTATAGAAACAGCTGCTGTTAATCTGATAATTGACATTAATTAGCAGGAGTCCTAACGAGGTGGAGCTAGCTGCTGTTAGCTGATAGCAGTTAGCTGTTAGCAGTTAGCTGTTAGCTGTTAGCGGTTAGCCGCTGTGTCAGATTCAGACCTTTGAGTTGGTGCAGCACGTCGCTCCTCCCGGACGAGGCCAGGGTTCCCGCCTCCTGCTCCAGTTTACTCTGCAGCTGTTTCAGCACCTCCTGCAGCAGCGACACACTCATTAAAGACACCAACATCACAATTATATTGCAATGTAAAGCCCCTGTGGAACCTGGGCTGATTCTGGCGCCCCCTGTGGACAAAAACAGTACTGGTTCTACCGCTTCGTTTCATTGATTTCAAGGGGAATCCGACCCGTTAGCAGACATTATTAATAACTATATAGAAATATCTGATCTGCTCTCTGAGGGTCTTGTTTGTTTAAATAGGTCAGATTGGGCAGCAGTAGCTCAGTGTGCAGGGACTACTGTGGTCTGTGGGGCTTGGGAACCGGAGGGTCGCCAGTTCAAGACCCACAGACCACAGTATGGAGTGTGGACTAGTAGCTGGAGAGTTGCCAGTTTTCACCTCCTGTGCTCTGCCAAGGTGCCCTTGAGCAACGGGTGTAAGAAAACAACCTAAGAGCTGAAAACTCTGAATCTGTCAGAAAAGAAGAACATTAAGTCTGATTGTTAAACATTTTCTCTGTTTAACAATCCACTCAGGCTTCACTGTGGAACTGAGAACTGCAGAAACGGTCTGTCTGCCTGTCTGCCTGTCTGCCTGTCTGTCTGTCTGTCTGTCTGTCTGTCTGCCTGTCTGCCTGTCTGCAGTCTCAGGTGTCTCCTGTCTGATCAGACGTCCTGATTCTGGTCCAACCAGCTGAGCTCAGTCTGATAATCCAGATGCTGACAGCAGCACGTGAGTGTGTCAGTGTGTGTGTGTGCGTGTGTGAACAGCTGATTTATGGATTATGGATTATAGATTAATGTCTCTGGGTCTCAACCTGGTTTCACAGTTTCTTTCTCTTATTTTCATAGAAATGTTGATTTCAGACGTTTCAAAAACAAAAAAGTAACAAATCGATATTATTGTTTTCATTTTTAATATCAACTGATATTAATCTTTATCATCTCTGGTTCCAGTAAACTTAACTTACATTTATTTAATAACTTCAGTTACTTTCATATTAATTATCATTAATACAAACTATAAATCAACTAATAAATGATGATTTTATTATAGATTAAACTCATAAATAATAATCATAATAATAATAATAATAATAATAATTCAGTATTAGAACATCTCTGATTTATTGTTTCAGCAATCAGATAATATAATAATGATTTATGTTTAAACAGGTTATTATTATTCTCTCCACATTAATCTGATAGTTTTATATAACAGGAATGAATCTTTATAGTCAATATGTTTTATTTCTATCTTTACTGCAACCAGAAGCAGACCTGCACTGTCTGTCTGTCTGTCTGCCTGTCTGTCTGTCTGTCTGTCTCCTGCCTGCCTGTCTGTGACTGATCATCGCTCTTTTTAGGAGAATTATCTGTGAATAAAATTATTTTTGTGTTCAGCGCTTAGTTTTGTCTGCAGGCGTTCTCACAACAACCTCCATCAGAAAGTAGGGCAGCTTGTTCTCTGGTAGCCTGAGAGGCAAAATCCAGGGAAATGAAACCCACGAAGATAATAAACCGTTCAACATGATTCAGGTCACCTTGTCTGACATTCTTTAATCAAACAATTAATCAGATTAATCAATAATCACCATTTATTTTTATTATTATTAACTAATGAACTGATTTTATAAACCATCACAGTTCAGTTCTACAGGAATCAGTGGCTCCACATAAACGTTATGCTGTCGTTTATTTTGTTTGTGTTGTTATTGTTTGTGTTGTTGTTGTTGTTTGTTCTCCAGACTGACCTTCATGCCGAAGGTCTCGGTCTCCAGTTTGGACAGGTGGTTGGAGTTGTCCTCCAGCTCCCTCCTCAGGTGGGTGTTCTCCTTGCGGAGCGCCTCCACCTGGTGGGCCAGCTGGTCGTAGGAAGCCACGGCGTTGGCCATCTTTACAGTCTGCAGCGCCTCCTGCAGGAGCACAGAGGAGCATCAACCCACGCTGCTTTAAACTCATATCGCTATAGTTACATCCAAATAAAATCCAACATTAATATTATTACGATTTAAAACTACAAATACGTAACACAACAAAAGAAGCTAAAGGACGTTGTTTATCTGGTGCGACCACAACTCATCTGTATTTATGAAAGGTTTACCTCACACAGTTAGCACTCTGGCTAACTACCTCAAAGTAATGCATGGACACTCTCAAGTCGCAATAATGGGTGTTATTCCCGTTCTTCCCGTTCTGCTGACTTTGCCGGACGCAATGCAAGATAACAGCACAAACTAGCTAATCTACGTCATTTATTACGGGGGACAGGGTAGAGATGGTGGACACCTA